CGCTTTTTGCTTGGGTTGTATTTCGGTCTAGAAGCCTTCTTCTTCTTTTTGTTCTCTTCAACAATATTTGCTCCCATTATTGTTGAGTTTCCACGGCCTCTCTTTTCAGCAACTTTGTTGTCCTCTTTGATTCTCAACCGAACAATGAGATCTTTAAGGGACATCTCCTTGTGTTTGTGTTTCAAGTAGTTTTTGAAGTCCTTCCACAAAGGAGGCAACTTCTCAATCATCGCTACTACTTGGAATGCTTCATTGATGACAAGACCTTCTATGGAATTTTTGTTAGTAAAAATACTAAGATTACTACTTTCAACATCAATATTAATTTGATTTCTACCTTCAGCAAGGAGATCGTGAATAATCACTTGCAATTCTTGGACTTGGGTAATAACAGACTTGATATCTACCATTTTATAGTCCAAAAACTTTGCATCAACGAACTTCTTCAACCCGACATCTTCGGTTTTGTATTTCTTTTCAAGAGCAGTCCACAGTTCCTTTGACGTTTTCACGCCACTGTAGACGTTATACAAAGCATCCTCCAGCCCGCTTAGAATATAATTCTTGCACAAAAAATCTGAATGCTTCCACGCCTCAATCACAAGAAAGCGTTCATTTTCTAGAGTTTCATCGGACAACACAGGAACATCTTCCTTGATGAACTTCTGGAGACTTAGAGCAGTCAAGTAGAATAACATCTTTTGCTGCCAACGCTTGAAATCAATCCCGAAAAATTTTTCGGGTTTCACTGCCGGTGCCAATGCTGTCGGTGTAGTTCGGCTTGTTGAGGCATTGACATTCACCATCGGAACAACTTGGTTCACATGATCATTAGTCATTTCTGTAAAAGAATGACACAAACGTTAAAATCACGTAGATTTTAATAGAGTACAAAACCGCAAAGGTTTTACTCTCCAGAAATAGTGAGTACAAATACAGACAATATATTAAATTCCCTAAGCTTGTTAGTAAACTGTATTTGTAAAATAATTCTGGAAATATAAATGAACATAAACAGGAATGAACAACGAAATAACAGAAAACCAATTCGAGCTCACTAAATTCACAGTGTTTCCTTAAGGAATTTAATCCCCTCCTAGTACCTAAGGTTATGGTTTATTTCCTCCCAGAATAGAACGAATTACACACTGGTTTAGTGGTACTTCAAACCCCAGTGTTTCAGCGAACACAAAGTTCGGTAACAAATCACACTTATTGTTGCTTTGTTTGATGCTAAAAGTATGCAGAAGAAGGAGGAAAAACTTAGAAAATCGTATGGAAATTTTGAGCAGAATAGCCTTGTATTTATAGCCAAAGTTGGGCTGAAATCTGAAGAGGTGCAACTCTTCAGAATGGCTGTTTATGCAAAACGGCCACAACATAAATGCCATAACATAAATAGATATTTACTCAACAATAAAGAGGGAAAATTGAAGATGGTAGTTAATTTTCTGTTACCAAAACAGAAAAATGGATTGGATTTAATATTAATATTTAATATTAATATTCTGTTATTAAGACAAATATTTAATAACATTTCTGTTAATATTTTACTATTAACAAATAAATTTGGTCCAAAAAATTAATCAATCAATATCCGAAGCCGAGCCGAGCAGGCGACAACGACGACGGCGCGAGGCTTGCCTTCTTCTCAACTCTTTAAGAGCTAGAAAAAGAGAAATTCCTTATATACCCATAAAAAACCTCTTCCTCTTCCAATATGGGACAATGTCCCTTTTGCCAATGGGGCAAACTTAAAATTTCACTCAAAAATTTCATTTCCCTCCGTTTACCATTCACCCTCTTTTAAGTATTTAATATATTAAATACATAAAACCCCAACAAGTACTACTATATTTTTGCATATAGGGAGTAGAAAAGCTCAGAAAACTCAAAAGCATAATGATAGAAGGAACAACGGCAAATCACGGTGAGGAACTTGGTTTATACAAGATTGCCCGAAATAGGTCTTGATTGGAGTTCAATGCATCATTTGCAAAGTATAGAGTCATCACAAATCATTTGGATCTTTTGTAGCACTACGCGTGTCTGTACAAATTTTATTCGGTATTTAGTATTCGTATTGGGTCTGACTAATTCGAATTCTAGTTCTAGAAGAGATTTCTTTTTAAGAGTGGAAGGATTTTATCTATCCGCAATATCGTTAGTGGTGCGTGTCTGTACATTAATCCAATTGCAGGCTAGTTAGCTACGAGCATTAAAAACAAATTAAAGGGAATCTTATTTAATTTAACATGCATCTCTTACCAATTTTTTCCTGTTTTGAACACAGACTGCCAAATTCTTTATGCTCAATTAATACCTCAACAGTTTATTAACAGATAAAGACTAATAAACATTTTGGAGAGTACGGAGCTTATATACTGCAGTGCTTGCCATGATTGTTAATCAATAAGACTTTGTTCCGTTGTGTTTTTAGGATCTAAATTCTAGGGTGTGTTTGGTATAACGAAAAATATTTTTCGTGAAAAATGTTTTCCAAAAAAATATTTTCTTGAAAAATGTTTTCCTTCCTACCAATCATTTTGTATCGAAATGTCATTTCGAAATGGTGGGGATCGATTTCAAAAACTGACAAAATTTGGGCTTATTGTAGATTTTGGTGCATTTAAGGTCAACGTACGAGTATCTTTATCCGTTTAATTCCTTTTAGCAATACTTTAATTGAGCCTTTGTTTGCGTTGGATTCCATATAGTAATAATCTAAGATTATTTAGGAACCATGGGCGGATATAGTATATTACTTAGGGATTCAACTAAATCGATAATTTTTTATGCGAAGTAAAATTTTATATGTAAAAATTGATTTAAATTGTAAAAATAGTAGATATGAATCTATAACTTTAACAATATAATAAGTTCAATATGCTAAAACCTTATTAAAAGTTAAGTTCATAGAGTTTAAATACCGGATCCGCCTAATGGGAACTTCAAATTTTCTCCAAATCATTCATTAAAGAGTCATGTTGTAATGAAACTTAACTCTTGAAAACGTAAAACATGATAAAGAACAACATGCAATACATACATTTAGAATGTAATTGAATAACGTAATATGAGCATAAAATAAAATATATGCTGGGCCATCCAGTGTGTATATATANTCAGCATGCACGTGCAGAGTTTTATTTATTCTGATATTGATATAACTTAATGAAAGGCTATTTCAAGAGTTCAAGTATGTAGAGGAGACACATATATATTATAAATAAAAAAAAGTAAAAATAAAAAATTAAAGGATCAGAACCTTATTTTAATTTGTTTTGTGTTTAGTAATTAAGCGCAGACCATGCATGCACACATCAGTATTTATGCACGTATAATTTAAAGCTACTAGTTTTCGGGTACGCGCTTTGCGCGTGTACCCATTAGAATAAGTAAAGTTTTTAAATCACATAACTATTATATTAAAAGTTATAATTAAGTTATATAGTAAAAGTAAAAGAAAAAAAATATAAATTTTTGAAAATTATGATATTGATCTTATTTGGTTAACTCAATAAAGGAAAAAACTTTCACATAAAAGTTCTCAAATTATGTCAATCACTATACTACACTTAAATTTGTCACATTATATATAAATAATCTTTTAGAAATTTATTATATATCTACCTGTATTTTTTTTAAAAGATTGTTGTATTCTTAAAATGTTAATTAGCACATATTCGTTTGTAAATTCAATCCTTGAAATCATGTGCCACAAGTGTTCTAATGCCAACATGGCAGTAAAGTCATACAAGCCAATGAAAATATTTAGTATTTTTTTTAAAATTTTTTTAAAGGAAATACTTGAACCCATAATAAGGATTGAACATATTAAAACGAATTATTTGATAATGCACTGATGTATTTTGATCCAATCGAAATGAGCGTACTAACAAAATATTAAGCCAGTAACTTTTTATTTTGTCATCACGTTTGATCGAGTTAGACTCCTCTAATTACCAAAGGTTACTCTTGAAGAACACAAATTTTAAATTATAATATAGTAAAGTAAAAGAGGTAATCAAATTAACTTTTTCGTACCAAATACGAGCAGCTTGAGCTGGCATAACAATTAGTAATTTTAACTATAAACATAGAACAAAAATAATCTTGAATTGATAAAATCTTCAATTGTTATGACTTAGAATGCCCAACCAATTTTATGTTACGAATGCAATGATCAAAACAACATGTACAATATGTATAAATAAGTCAATTTTAAACTAATGATCATATATCAAATATTATAAACAAAAATTACAATTGATAACTTTTCAATTTGCAGTTATTTGCTTAATCTTGAGAACATGTTATAGGTTAGAAAATTTACCTCAAAATCACACGTAAATTTATCTATATAGATGTCGATACTATGAAGAGCTTATGATAAAAAATATAAAAATTGTGGTTTCTCTTATAGTTGTGGTCAGCTCCTTATTGACCACCTTATTCTAAATTATTTTGGTCCTAAAATTCTAAAATCCTAAAGAGAAGACATAAAACCTACTATTGATAATCTAAACCTAATTAAACAAAGAAAAGATACAATGTAAGTAAAGCATTACTATAAAGTAAGAAAAATCTATTCTAGTCTAGATCCTAAACCTAAACGAAACAAAAAATATACAAAAAAATACGGAAAGAATCCTAAACAAAGTAAAATCTAAAGAATCATGAACCAAAAGGAAATCACACGCTATTATATTTTTTCCTAAAATAAAAAAATTAATTACTACAATTACAATTTTATCCAATATAGAATTCACTTACGAAGGGTAAAAAAGACGATCAACATTTCGATAGGGCCTTCGTGCTTTTAATATAGTATAGATATATTAGCAGTATCGATTTATAAGTATATTAAGGCACTTAAGAATTTATTTAGAGCAACTTAGGCTAAAAGTTATTTTGTGCCTGGCTGATTAAAGACTGAATTACTAGTACAAAATCTCATCTTAGTTAGCCCCTATAAATATAAGTCCAACTAACATTAGTTCCTCGTCAAAATCCCACATCTAAAAACCACCTTATCTCTCTCTTCTCTCCTTTATATTTTCCTCTTTTCCCACTCTCATAAAAAAAATGGATAATAAAAGAACATGCAATTCTCACGATGTTGAAGTTAGGAAAGGTCCTTGGACTATGGAAGAAGATTTGATTCTCATCAATTATATAGCTAATCATGGTGAAGGTGTTTGGAATTCCCTTGCTCGATCTGCTGGTAATTAATTAACTAGGACTAACTCTCTTTTTTTTAATTAAAATGAACCCTAAATACCGTTTCGTCTTGTACACTTGTTCTTCCTCTCTTTTATTTCTTCCTTTTATTAAAAAAAAAAAAAATTCTTACATGAGAGATCAGTGTAAGGGAACGGGAAAGAATAGTGTGAATCAGAGACAAATCAAGGATTTGAAATTTATAGACTTTAACAACGGTCTCAAGTTAATCTACAATAATAACTGAGTTTACAATCAAATATTTTTAGTGAACTTTTTAATTAGTATATATAAAGAATATAGACAAAAATTAATGAGTTCACGTGAATCTATATATTGTACCGTGTAAATTGAACCTACACCTAGTATGTGGCAAGAAAACTCCCTCCCACTACTATATATACCACTAAACCATAACCTTAGTAGTTCCGAATTTTTATTTTTTTAGTTTATATATATTAAATGTTTTTTTCTTTTACTGTGGTAGGTCTGAAGCGTACCGGAAAAAGTTGTAGACTCCGGTGGCTAAACTATCTCCGGCCGGATGTTCGGAGGGGAAATATTACACCTGAAGAACAGCTCTTGATTATGGAACTGCATGCCAAATGGGGAAACAGGTGAGTTATTAATTAATAAATTTACTTCTAGTATTTTGATTATTACATCAAGTGAAATATATAGTTGGAAATTTTTTTTTATAAAAAAAATGGTGTAATTTTCTTCTTCAAGTTTTTGATTCTCCCATATGAGTGTCTTTTGTGTTGAGTGGACAAAGAGAAATTTTCCAAAATTGGTTCATAGAACTAGATTTGGCATGTGAGAGAGTGAGGAAGAATTTGCAACGTGCGAGATGTAACCAAGATTTGTTTATTGAATTTTTTATTTATTTATACGAGTATATATAGTATGAAAAAGAATATATGTATAATTCCTGACCGACTTAATTATTAAATTATTACTCATACAACGTGTAAAAGTTGTGTTCAAAGATTTTATTCTACGGAAGCAACTCCGTACATCGATCTTCTAATATTTTCTATTTTTGGGAAGATTTGAATTACTTTTCGTCAACCATTTTTGGGTTTACGGCTTGATTTGACAGTCTGAAATTCTTTAAGATTAATCACGTAAAGGGTATTCCGTCCAAGTTGATTAATTAACATGAAAGTACAAAACGATGTCACTTCTACAGTAATTACATTAATTTATTATGCTTTACAATATACATAGAAAAATATTATGATTAATTACAAACTCATTTGGCCACCATAATTAGTAAACAAGGACAGGGATTCAGCCTTGCATTATAGCAGGATATGACACATGGATTTCACTTAATACTTATATACATATTTTTACACTATCAGTATATTTTAACGTTGTTATCTTATGTTTCTGATTACCAACCCTACTTTTTAATGTATAATTATCTATAATTATTCTTTTATAATGTTACTAAGTTAGTTAAAACCATGAGATATTGTGAACGAGCTGAGCCAAAAGAATAGAAGTAATTTCCATCTAAAGAAGAACCCATTGAATTGAATCACATGCTAAGGCCTTTAATCTATCAGTTGAAAGATCGAAGCAGAAGCTCTTCTCCAATTTGCTTTGATTGAAGCAGACAGCTACCTTATTCTTTTGGCTTTTTATGAAGACAAGGCCCCCCTCTTCCTACCCTAGGTTTTTACAGTCGGAGTTTAAGTTATATACACGTGGTATAAAATTTGTTACCTCTATTGTAGTACTCCTTCCGTTTAATTTTAGATGAGGTAATTTGACTCGACACAGAGTTTAAAGGATAAAAAGAAAATTTTTGAAACTTGTGATCTTAAAAGCTTAAGCGGTAAAAACTTTGTGGGACCATGACATTTGTGTAGTTATAAAAACTTATCATTAAGGGTAAAATGAGAGTTTAAAGTTGAACTATTTCCAATTATATAAATGTGTCATTCTTTTTAAAACGGACTAATAAGGAAAGTTTGTTATCCAAATTGAAACAGAAGAATTAGAAAACGCCCCCCGCAGTAACTTTATTCTCTATCGCGATTCCCGCGGACCAATTTTTGATGTCTCTGTCGCTGACGTTCGTCAAGCAGGTTGCTGGCTCTTTTTTTTTGGTTTCCCACTCGGTGTTCGGCACTCGCATTGGAGCCCGACTATATTCGGATTCGCACCGGGTAAGGCCCCATTCGGGGGGTAGCGCTCCCTATCAAGGATTTTTCCATACCCAGAGCTCGAACTCGAGACCTCTGGTTAAGGGAGGAGCATCCCTATCCACTGCACCACATCCTTTGGCGGTGGTTGCTGACTCTTATCGTAAAGTATTCTGTTGAACAACCCTTTATCCTTCTGGAGGCATTGGAGAATGTAGGAATTAGGAAATGAGTTATTAGTTGGAAGTTAGGGTTTTTGTGGCTTTCCCTAGTTTCAAAGTCATTTTGACAGTTGAGTTTCCTTTATATAAGAAATGGAGGCAAAAACAGACTTGAATTCAGCCACAAATTAAACGTGACTGAAAAACACTTATATCAATATGGAATTACTAGTGCTCTACTTTCCAGTCGAGAATTTGGTACATTATCGCATCCGCAGCCATAATGCTATAAATAATTACCAGAAGGTGCAATATATATATATATATATAAAAGTCTCATGTTAAAGAGTAAAGACATTATCTGTGGTCAAAGAATATTATAATAATTATCTAGACTAGACTAGATAGTGATCAGTATACAAGTTGGTAGACGATTGTTAGCAGAACAAATTAAAGAAAATACACTTCATTAGAAGGATTTAAGTTATACCACTAATTTACATGTGTAAATATTTTTCACACTAATAATATAATTAATTTAACCTATACGATAGCAGGTTATCATTTTTACCAGGTTATCAACTACGTAATGTTTATCATAGAGATTTATCTGTAATTACCTTATAATGTTGTGACTTGATTGTGCAAATACTTTATATACGTTAGTGCAAAGAATTTAAACTAATCATTTTGAACAGGTGGTCAAAAATTGCAAAGCATTTGCCAGGAAGAACAGATAACGAGATAAAGAACTACTGGAGGACAAGGATTCAAAAGCACATTAAACAAGCAGATGAAGGCATGAATATTAGACCATCATCAAATTCTGAGAACAACCATCATCAACAAGCAAGCACAAGCCAAGTTTCTACTGAAAATAATACCATTGAAACCTACTCTCCATCATCTTACAATGGAAATAATATGGGCACAACTAATTTTCAGGCCAATTTTCCAGCTGAAACAAATGAAAATATTTGGAGCATGGAGGACCTTTGGTCCATGCAATTGCTTAATGATGCAACCAACTAATATATAGCTATATATGTAAAGCATTAAAAATTCCGAATCATATTCCCATGTCTCTCCTGCTTCATGAGTCACTGTGTAATACAACTATCAAACTTATGAGTTTAACTTTTATGCATTAATTAACAGTATTGTAAATAGATACACAATCAAGTTACTTAAGTACATGGTAATTACAGGTAAATTTCTATGATAAGAATTACTCCCTTTTTTGTAACTTGATAAAAATGATGCGCAACTAATTTGCTATCATATGTTAAACTATACATTAATATTGTAAAATATCTTCACAGTATTGTGTATCAACCATGCAAGAGGGGAATTCTAGAAGTAGGGAAAATGTAATTAATTAAGGGAAATGGCGGTGATCAGTTAATCCATTAAATCATGAACACTTGGAAAAGAGTTTAGTTCCTTTTTTTTTTCCTTCTAATTATATTATTATTATGGATAGTTTTTCCTAAAAGAAACATGCAATAATCATGTTTGTCTTATAGCCTGTTTGGCCAAGTTTCGAAAATCAGCTTATTTTGGGAAGTATTTTTTTCAAAAGTACTTTTGGTGAAAATTAGTTTGTATTTGGCTAATTAATTTGAAAAGTACTTCTGAGCAGCAATTAGTATTTACCCAAGCTTTTAAAAAGTGTTTCTAAGTATATTTTTCTCAAAAGTGTTTCTGGGGAGAAGCTACTTTTTTCTGCTTCTCCAAAATTGTTTCTCTTTTTTTCTTCCAAAAGTTTGGCCAAACACTTCAATTTTGAAATAAAAAACACTTTTTTTTTTTTTTTTTAAAAANAGTGTTTCTAAGTATATTTTTCTCAAAAGTGTTTCTGGGGAGAAGCTACTTTTTTCTGCTTCTCCAAAATTGTTTCTCTTTTTTTCTTCCAAAAGTTTGGCCAAACACTTCAATTTTGAAATAAAAAACACTTTTTTTTTTTTTTTTGAAAAAGCTAGGCCAATACAGGCTATAAAAAAAGTGCTTTTAGGTTTGAAAAAGTTGGGCCAAACAGGCTATTAATCTGCCTCTAAATCGAAAATGTGGTAATCACTTGACGAATAATATGCAAGCTCAGCAACTACTTATCTAAGCTAATTACTTTTAGTGATTGGAAAATTCGTTTTGAAAAAGACACCACTTTGATTAATTATATTAGAGTACTGAAATATGTATTATCATACATCAAAATGAAATTAGTAATAATAAATTAAAAAATAAACAAAAAATGGACGGGGAAAAGGCCATATAGACTAAATTACAAAAAGTGAAATACGTTACCTAGAGTAAGATTTTCGTACAGTATGAATATATAAATTAAATTCAACGTAAATCATTCAAAATTACTAATATGTACGGGCTGCCAACATATACCGAACTGAATTCACTCGAAATGGACGTGTGGAAAGGCAATATAGCTATTTTGAGAAATTTCAATCTTTGGCTTTCCACAATTAACTACATTTGTGCATGGATTTGCATGGATGAAGTCCGACGTGAGCCTAACTTTTAAGTATTTAGAAGGAAGTCTTCACATGGTCTCTATCAGTTCACATCCAACTTTCATAACATGTTGCTTCATCATTTTGATTAGTAAGTAATCAGGGCCAAATTGGTTCGGCTGGACTCAATAGCTTTAATTCTAATATTTCTGTATTGCTATTAAAAAGGTCACTAAATATATACAAAAATTAAATTAAGAACCCAAACGAAACCCCTAAACGCATTATCTTGCAATTTAAAACTCAAAAAGTTTAAATCTCGACTTCGCCTCTAAATTTGCATGCCCTATTAATCAAAAGTACTTGATATTTTGTTATAACTTTTTTTACGCGTAACTAATGTACTAATGGAAACAACAACCCACTTAGGCACTTCAAAGACTTACACAAACTTGATGTTTAGCCTCATACTTATTTAGGAAGGATCTTTCACGTCATTTGTCGTTTTATGTAGCATAAGTTGATCATTGTTGGACCATTGTCTTGATTCATTAATTGTTTAATTTCTTTTTCCATTATTGTCGTATAGTCCATACATCTATATCTATCTATCTATACTATATTAAAAGCACGAAGGCCCTTAGCGAAATGTCGTTCGCCTTTTTTACCCTTTAAAATTGAAGTTCACACTAGACAAAATAGTCATTTAATTATTCTCCTAATATTTAGTTCTTGAAATTGACTAAAATTTTTGTTATTAAATTATTTTCCATTGAACACTAGGCAGGAAACCCTAAAATTTAGGACTTTAAAGTCAATTAAAACTTTACTTAACTTAAATATTTTTCTTATTTGAATTATATATGTCACATAATTATAATTCTTACATGTTGCTTTCATGGATATATATTCTGTGAAAAAAGTAAATAACGTGTGTTTTAAATAAAATTAAAGTAAATAACTGATCCATCAATTTTATGCCTAATATTTAAAAAGGCACGTAAGAAATAGTGCATTTAAGTCATAGTTTTGATTTTAAAAAAATGAAAACATTAATGATAATTCATATTAAGGTGACATGAATTTAGACTTTAAAAAGCAATTGTGACATTCTATTTTCTTTTAACAATAAGGACGTAGAATTTGAAATATACTTATAAGTTTTGTCCATTTTTATTGTCTAAATATTAAGAAATAATCAAATGATAATTTTTTTAAATGTGACATTATTTTAAATGGTAGAATAAGTTAATCAATATATATTTTGTACACAAAAATAGGAATATAAAAAGAACATATATATGTAATTGGTCGCGGGTAAAAGTACTTTAGAAAGAAATTTTAGGTAAAATAAGATAATAATTGAGCAAAAAAAAAATAATATAAAAATTGTTAATAATAATCGAGTTCGGATGCCTATATGATTATTAAGTTATTAATAGAATAAGGTTACAGCTTTAGCAGTACCGTAAAATGAGTAAAGATAAACAAAAATTAATTGTTGGTAAACTATCTTACATAAAGTTTTTTACATGAAATATACATGCAATGTACGTACCCAAGTCCTCAAGTAAAGTTGAATGATTTTTTTACCTTTCAATCAAACGCTACTCCTATAACCTTTTTTGTATAATAAAGCAAGCAAGCAAGAGAAACTACTGAAGGAAGAACTATTAGACTAGATCAAACTCCTAAGGAAGAACTACTCTTAATTTTATATAATAACATAAACATATTTTTGAATATTATTTATTTTATTTATAAAATTTTATTTTTCATTAAAAAGAGGGACACGCGCAACGCGTGTATGCTAAAACTAGTACTATATTAAAAGCACGAAGGCCCTTAGCGAAATGTCGTTCGCCTTTTACACCCTTAAAAAATAAAGTTCATACTAGACAAAATTGTCATTTGATAATTTTTCCTAAAATTTAAGATTTTAAATTAACTAAAATTATTGTTATTATATATTTCCTTATATAATTAATGTAAAAGCTCCTAATATTTAGGATTTAAAAAAATAAATTTTGCAAGCGTATACTACATATTTAAGGAAGATTACTAACTATATTGAAATATCTAAAAAACATTTGGGAACTTTTATAAGTGTGACATGCAAAAACATACACGTTTAATAAATTTAGTTTATATAACCGAAACAAAGTGTACATACATATTTTTTATATTGGTTAAAATTTCAAATTATAATTTTCTATTTAATAGTTGTTTACTAATGTTTGATTATGGGTTTGTACTCCAACACTATATCCTACATTAGAATTTTGCAGCTAAATAATACTCTAACAACGTAGATAATTTAACTTATTTTGAGTACATTAACAATATAAATAATGTTTAAGCAAATTTAACTTATATCATAATGATATAATGACTAAATTATATCATTTATTTCTTTCTAAAAATAAATTTTGTTGGATTTTAGTATTACTAATCTAATAAAATTCTTTATATATTAATTATATCTAACAATATATGGAGTATCTTATTATTTTTCGCATTTTCCAAATTGAATTCAATAAGATTAACATGAAATTTATATTAGGTACTTTGAGCAAATAGAATTTATTTCTTTAAGGCTATGAGAATATAGTATATTTTACATGATACTTGAATACAAGTCAACATATTATTCTCTATTTGAGCTATTAAAGCAAATGCACAACTCATATATCGAAGTTATGTAAAGGCATTAGAATACTTTTGCGTGATATAATTTTTTTTCTTTATTAAGTTGGCTAAAAATGATCAATAGTCTTTATTAAGCTTGTACATTTTAATTTTTTTTCTTATTTTATAACTCATCACATAGTTTGATAATCTTTGTATAATTTTCAAATTTTATATTCATTGATATGGATAACACGCGCAATGCGCGTACTTTAAAGCTAGTTATTCAAGAATTGGCTGGCTGTTAGAAGATGAATTTGATTAGCATATATACTTTCCACAATGCATATAGTCCCCCTAATTACACTCCCAAGTATTTTAAAAAAGAAATTCTTAGAGTTTTCTTTGTTAAAGGTATAATAAATTAATTACAGTTGCTCTTGATCTTCAATAATTTAAATTTTTAATTGAAATAGTCACACAAATCAAAAATATATATGATACCAGAGAAGAGCAGGTAATTAAAAGTGATTATATATTCGAATCTCACTACTACATAAAAAGGATTTTCGTGTGTTTGGCCTATCAAAAGCTTTAAGCTTCCCGATAAGATGTTCACATATTTCAACGTTCTTCATTTAGGAAAGAAGAGGGCAAACAAGGGCAGCCGGGTGCACTAAGCTCCCGCTATGTGCGGGGTCAAAAGAAGGGCCAGACCACAATGGTCTATTGTACGCAGTCTTACCCTACATTTTTGCAAGAGGCTGTTTCCACGGCTTGAACCCGTGACCTCCTAGTCACATGGTAGCAACTTTACAAGTTACGTCAAGGCTCCTCTTAGAAAAGAAGAGGCAAAGTGGAAAAAGAAAGAGAATTCAAAATCACAGCTAAACTATTCATTGAAAGAAGACAGTTTGAATGAGAAGAAAACATGGAAAAGTTACGAAACTTGGTAGGTCTTACCACAGAAAATGAAAGAGGAATATTGTTGTGAGCTTTCACAGTACGAAGATCATACGAAATAAACTCCCCACAAATTTGGTCCACTTGTTGTATTTCATCACATGTTTCAAGTGTAAAATGTGAAGCAATAAAAGATAACTTCCCACGTGAATGATATAAATCA